ATAAAGGTTAAACTAATAATCACGATTAGTTTGCTCAAAAAATATAATCACTATTATTAATCAATCACAATTACTGTCATGTTAGGGTTTTTCTTTTTTTTTACATTTCATCAGAATTATTACAACTTTCACATAAGCACAAATCAAGAGAATGACAACTTAGCATGGTGTGCTCGCAGATTCACAGCAAACAGTGTGAAACAAAACAGACTGGCTGCATGACTTTTATTTGAGTGGAATATCTCAATAGAGACTGCAAATGTGTTTTCAGCTCATCGGCACTTTATCCATAATACAGAGAGTGCATGTGTGCATGGTTGCCAGGTTGGGAAGATTACAAAATTTGCATGAGACTGGGCAGAAAATGTATGCTTTCACGAGAAAAGCTCTGATTTAAGGGTGATTTAAACTCATGACATCTGGCAACCGTGACCATGAAAGCTTGCGGAGGCTTAATGGAAGAGATAATGCAAAGGCTAAATGAATGAAACGTTTTTGGGATCAATAACCAGCAGGCAAATATTGAAGACAATTATGCCTAATTAGTTGTGAGCAGCAGAAAACCTGATCACGATTAAAATATGGTTTATCGTGCAGCCCTAACTGTAGGACTCTGGTTGTCAAGCTTTAAAAAACGATTCAAAAACACTATAAAAGTATCAAAAAAGTCTGTCTTCGAAGTCTTATGAAGTCATACAATATCTTTGTATGAAGACTAAATTTAAACCAGTGAGCCAAAGAACTGGATCGCCCTGTTTCATGATCACCCAGACTGGTTTTGTGAACTAGATCAGCAGATTCACAGAAAAGATCCGAATCAAAATAATGATTTCTTCATGAATCATGAAAGTAAGTTGTGAGACTTGAGTAAATGATAACAAACTTTCATTTTTGGGTGAACTATTCACACTAAGTTACAGTAAAATGCTGTTATGACTTGCATCAATGGTGATCTCATTTGATCGTGTTTCCTTCAGATGGGTCGTTCCACCGCAGTTTCCGTCGGGGAAGCGGTGGCCACCATCCCAGCGAGAAGTGGCTCAGACGCTCCCGAGGTTCACGAAGCGACAGACCTCGTCTGGAAACCCTGGAGTGCAGAGTAGGAGACCGCAGGCGGTCCAACAGCGTCCTGGACGGCAGCCTTACCCTGCACTCCACCCGCTACCGGCACGAAGACTCCTGCTCCACCTGCTCCTCTTCCTCAGACTCGGAGGAGGAAGGCTTCTTTCTGGGCCAGCGCATTGCTCTGCCGCCGCAGCTGACGGGTGAAGAGAGAGCAGCAGAAGGACAGACAGAGGACGAGGACAAGAGCCGAAGAGGAAGCTTCAGGAGAAGGACACAGAGTCTCGGTAGAAAAGACAAGGATAAGGACAAGAACTGCATACTGTCCTGAGACAAAGACGTGTGTTAAAAACTGGAAATTAAAGAACGCGGTCAAGACTGCTCAGTCAAGATCAAAGTTTATGAGTCACATGTCCTACAGTCTGTGCAAATGTGTGCCAGTATTTTTATAAAGGTGATGAAATATTATCCAATATCAGTTTCAGTATCATGGTGCTTAGTCAAATTTACTGGCATTATTATTCGGGCCGAGGAACATTTCCAATCCAAATTTTGTTTGTTACTGGAAAAGTAGAACTACAGTTTCTACATTTATGCGAGAGAGCTAGGTGAACTGATTTCATTTTACATTTCTTTACAGCTAAAGGCCTGTTTAACACAACACAAATATTTGGCACAAAAAATTAACTTCAATTTTGGCATGCTGTTCAGTATGGAAGCTTGTTTCTGCCACTTAATAAATAAATAAAGGTAATCGCTACTTTTCCCCCCTCATAATTCAGACTTTTTTTTTTTGCAAGTTTACATCTTGCAGTTCTGACTTTTTTCTCAGAATTGCAAGATATAAAGGTGCAATTCTGAGAAATAGTCAGAATTGTGTGAAAACTCACAATTTCAAGAAAAAAACTCGGAGTTGTGAAATATAAACTCGCAATTGTGAGGAAAAAATGTTAGAATTACCAATGACCTTTTTTTTCTTGCAATTTCACGCACAGTACATGAAAAGTACACTTACAGGTAAAGCAAAATTACTCCTGCACAAAAAAATACAACTTTCCATTACTGACATTCGCTTGACACAAAGTAGAAAGGAAATCAAAACCGTATTCACATGTCTTCTAACAGCTGTTGAGATTTTTGTATTTATTATTCTGTTTATCAAATAACACCAAACACACGGCAAGAAAGCCGCTCACAGGCTCTTCCTCCACTGTTCACGGTTGCTTAGAAAAAGTTGCTTAGTTTGTTTGTGAGCACCACCAAGTTTTAGCTTTATGTAACATCAATGACTTTGGGCATGTGACAAAAAAAACTCATTCAAAATTAAATTGTTTATTGTACCGGATTTTTGCGACAAATATTTGTCTTGGTGTAAACAAGCCTGGAATTAGAGCCAAGGTATATGTTCAAAATGATATTATGCATTACATTACATGAATGCAACACTAAATATCTGCAATAGTAATGTGCTACTTTGTTGTCATATGACCATCTTATGTTTTCAAATCTAATTTTGTGTTATAATATCTTTTGGCGATCAAATAATGAAACAAGGTGTTAAAAATCACAGATGTGCAATTACATTGAAAGTGTGTGGTCAAATTAAGCACATTGCATTGTGGGATGGATTACCCAGTGTTTGCCCTACTAAATATTGCACGTTTGGAAATTTTGACAAATGTATGACAAAAGTCCCATGCATAAGGAAAATACTCATTGTATGAACAGTATACAGTGGTTGTATGCTATTCACATAGCCTGTGTGTTGGTGAAAGATCATTCCAGTCATTCAGCAAAACCAGTTAAAATCCTAGAAATGAGTGTTGTTTGTGTGTTGGGGAATGTTGTGTTGGGGAAAGTTACTTTTAAAAGTAATGCATTACAAAATTGCATTACTCCCTCAAAAAGTAACTAATTGCGTTACTTAGTTACTTTTTATGGAAAGTAATGCGTTGTTACTTTTACGTTACTTTTTCACATCTGGGCTGGGCTTGCTTATTTGTTTTTAATTAAAAAAAAAAAAAACGTTTAATTTTTTGCAAAAGTAAAAGCCCTTTTACACCAGAAATGAAATAAGCCTCAGGCTGAAGGAAATGTAAATATTGCAGGTTTGCATCATATTCTGAGTTTGCATTTCACTGTTTTTTGTTTATTTTGAGGAATGCTGAATTTGTTTTTGTGCAAGTGAGATGAGTAAATGCATGTTCACATTTAGTCTAGAACTACAGTAACATTATGTTCACACAGCGCACACAACTCCTCTGAACTTACTCCGGATTTCTCTCTACATGAGGACAGGAGAGCTGTCAGCCAATCAATGAGAAAACAAACTAACTGGCATTACTTATTTGAAAAAGTAACACAGATATTTTCCTGTAAATTAAAAAGTAATTGGATACTTTACTAGTTACTTGAAAAAAGTAATCTGATTATGTAACTCACATTACTTGTAAGGTGTTACCCCCAACACTGGTTATATTTCTAAAATATGTTTAGCCCCTTAAGTTCCACATTTGCTAAACCCATACTACAAGATAAAATGTTAAAGGGGTCATATGATGCGATTTAAATTTTACAAGCTAGAGTTACAAGCTCTTGGTGCATATTTGTTTCGTCGCTCCAGCCGGGACGCGGCATCACAGTATGGTAAGGGGCGTAACATTTCCGTCACACGCTTGAGGTATTCGGCCAATCACAACGCACTGGATAGCTGGCCAATCACAGCACACCTCGCTTTTTCAGAACGATGAGCTTTGTAAAAATCGAGCGTTTCAGAAAGGCGGGGCATAGAGGAGAAACAATAATGTACAGTATGTGGAAAATAATGTGTTTTTTGAACCTTAAACCGCATTAACACATTTCATTACACCAAATACACCAAATAATGTTATTTTTAGCAACATCATATGACCCCTTTAAGTGCTAAATCTAAAACAAACTACTTAAACAGGTGAATAGTTGTTGCTTGTTTGACTGGTTTTGAGAGGGCTGTGTAATTTGCACTTGCTGAAGGTTTAACTACATAAAAACTTATTGAAATGCAAACACAATGTTGTGGAGCATGTACAGGAGACAAGTCAACATACTGTATAGCGAAAGTCGTAAGGCTACTACAGGCCATATCATAACAGAATGTGGGAAAGTAGAATCTTTATCTCCTCATCAACTGTAAATATGTATATATTGACATTTCAAACCTCTGTGTGTAAATGAGAGTTGAAATAAAGACATGAGTTTTACTTTGTGTTTTGCAAAATAGAGATCAAAGTACTGTATGTTAGAATTGTATTTTTTATAAACAACATGGTGATGGTTTTATATTCTTGTCAAGATGCTTTCTGGCCTAATATAATTTTTAGAAACTTTAAAAAGTGATCTTTTTGAATGAGAAAATAAACACTTGATCCTAAACATTATGGTTTTGTGTTTCATAAACATTGTTTAGACAATTGTTTAAACAATTTAATTGTTTAAACAATTGACAATTTAGACATTGTTTAAACATTAAACAAATGTTTCCTAAACTTTTATTTTGTTTAGTATTTTAAAGTAAATTTATTAAGGCACTGACCAAAATGATGATTGTACTCGCATCTTGTTTTTAGCATGTACATTTGGCTACAAAGTCTATAAATAACTAAACACTGCAAATCAGAATACCTACACTGTTTTTTTTTTTCTCATTGTCTAGTTATGTATATATATATATAAACAGAATTCCAAGATAAAAAAGAACAATATATTGTCTTCTCAACGATAATCGACTAGAAACTAACTTGATGTATGCTGTCTCTTCTCTACTTACAGATGACAGACAAAAGGTGGCTTGAGAATATTCTCAGGGTAAATGTGGCTTTTTCTTTGTGATCAGGTGACTCAAAGGGCATATGGGACATACTTCCTGGAGTGTGACTGAGTTCTGATTGGATGGGGCAAGAAAAAAGGGCAGGAGGAGTGTTTGAGGAGAGAGTCAAACCGGTCTGGCAAGTTTTACTTTCTCCTTAACACAAACACACGCGTGTGCACCATCTGCCTTGCTATCTTTCTGCTCTCTGACACACAAAAGACATTACTGACTGAACTCAGTCTCTCTGTCCTACCGGACTCAAACTTTAGAGATTAGAAGGGAAACCAGTGCTGTTGAGTTTCCTGAAACAGTCACAGGTATGTGTTTGGTTGTGTGTGTATTGTCTGTTAATGTGTCTCAATGCGATCTATACCTTTAAACAATGTGGCTAACATATACTTTACTACAATCTGTTATCAACGTTTGCCTCGTTCTAATTCCCCGTAACTGATGTTTTGGTTCTAGAAACAGTCTTGAATCATGTAGAGACATGCCGTATCCTGTCCCTGGAATCTGTAAGTGAAATCTTGTGTTCCATTTATTCTTGTTGACCTTATTTTTTTCTTGCCTTAAGGGATCGATTTCATATTTACTTCATCTTGAATTGTAATATCATTGTTGTGTTTAAAACAGGTATATAGAAAGAGATAAAGGGAGAGTGAGGTCAGAAAGACTGAGCAGAGAGGATGAAAGGATGGAAAAATGTATGGATCGTAAAAGACAGGAAAGAATAGAGTACACGGCGCACTTTAACCTTAGGAGGAGTGCTGGCTGATATGTTAAACGAATGATAAACATTTAGACAATGAGCTAGAATGTCATTGGCCGTACTTTGCCTCTAAGCGAAAGTATCTTAAGTCCATTGATAAAAGTCATTTATCAACAACACTGGACAAAAATCCAGTGTGAAACATCAATAAGTCCCTTGAGTTAACCAGTGACTTTAGTGTCACATTTCTCGCTGAGACCACATTCCTAAGTGGGCAATGTAATTGTCACAATCGTGGACAAATGTTTTCATATCAGTCATGTTGGTTTGCTAAATGGAAGGACACTGAAAAAGGCTTTCAGTGTGATTTACAGTTATTTTAGGAAGTATTAAATTAATAATTCCTTTGAAAATCAATTAAGTGAATGCTAGAAGAAAGTGCTAGCCTTTTAGCCACTGCTAATATATTAGGTTAATGGTTTCAAGCCATCCTGGAACATACATCAACAGCCTAAAGAGCTCATTAGTGGTGTTTGCTAAAGCAAGTATCACTTTTATTAATGCTCATACCTCTAACCCCAAGTATTTATTTTTTTGGAAGCATAACTTCCTGTGCCATTTGTGTTATGGCCATGAAAGACTCCAATTGTGGAGCTAGCTGATAAGAGTTGTGCTATCACTTTTGTAAGCAAATAAAATGATTTCCAATAGCAGACAACAAAACTGATGAAAGAAAATCCAATTGACTTATTTACGGAAAGGCTTGAGCCATACATGTAGAGACTTTTTAACCGTCGGACCATTCGGCTACTGCCACCAAATCTATAGTCTATAGTAATCTGGGCTGGTTGACATTGTGGTGCTGCAAAATCAGGATTTGAATCAATGTGACCATTCGTGATTCACTAAAGCCGTTCAACTATCCCAGTTCTGTCCTCAGGTATGGTTACCGAACCATACTGTGAAATGTGTGTGAAACAGTTTACAATCATACCATATTAAAACGTGTTCTAAAACGTGTTACTTGTCGGCCCAATGCTGGAAAAACGCTTATCTGCTTGTGACGTATCAAATGTTTATCTGCTTGTGACATATCAAATACTGAATCTGGGTCCAAAACTTTAGTCTGTTTAAGTGAGCATAGTATCTCATCAGCTGTTTATGACCACTATTCATATATTGCACACCTTTAAGGTAAGAGATTAAAAACTCACGATGGACACCAATATTTTAACAAATGATAAAAAAATTTTAAAAAAGCACTGTCTGGCCAAATGATATTTCACTATGGAGATAAAAAGCTTAGGACCATGATTTTTCGGTAGTATTACAGCACACCGTGAGTGTATATTAGCATTTAGTACTGTTTTTTGCTTTTGTGATCTTAAGGAGCATTTGGACCAGTGTTGCCTGGTTTTCACAACAAAACCTGCCCAACTGCTACTCAAAACTAGCCCAGTCGCGTTTCGGTGGGTTCCACCAGTACAAATCGCGTTCCTGGGGATAAAATTTTGGTGGGGTTCCCCTGGTAAAATTCGCAATCCAGGGGATAACAGTGTTAAAGTAGCCAAATTCCGCGGGAAAACCATGGACCTGACAACACTGGTTTGGACCCCGGACTGTGACACATGACATCAGACTTAAAGGGGACACACACAGTTTCGGCCAATCTCATGTTAATCTTGATTACATATATAGTAGCATTGCATCCTTCATATCTCCGAAGAGTCTTTCGTTTTATCAGATTTATTAAAGAAAGATACAGCTTTATACTTCTCTCCAAAAACAGTCTAGCTCTTCCGGGAGAAGGACCCATACAAGGAATTCAGCCCTTCATGCAGGGCCATACTCGAGAAAAAAAAACTTTCCGAAACAAACCCGGAAGGAGTGTATTTGGCACAGAAACATTCAACTCGTTTTTTGAGACTTTGGTCATGTTTAGCATTAGAATCCAACTTTTTAAAGGGGTCATATGATGTTGCTAAAAAACATTATTTTGTGTATTTGGTGTAATGAAATGTGTTTATGTGGTTTAAGGTTCAAAAAACACATTATTTTCCACATACTGTACATTATTGTTTCTCCTCTATGCCCCGCCTTTCTGAAACGTGTAGATTTTTACAAAGCTCATCGGTCTGAAAAGCGAGGTGTGCTCTGATTGGCCAGCTATCAGTGCGTTGTGATTGGCCGAATACCTCAAACGTGTGATGAAAATGTTACGCCCCTACCATACTGTGATGCCCTGGCCGGCCGGAGCGAGACAAAAACATTAAAACCCATTATAAATGAGGCATTTGTTGCATCCAGTGGGGACATAATTACGGATTATAATTGCCTTATACTGTCTTTTTACTCGTTACATCGCGCCGCGTAAACATAAAACCATGTCTGCATTTGTGATCGGAGAAATGACAAACAACAAGCGCTACTCTACATTGCTCAATACTGGCGTTTGAATCGTCAGTGGCAAATCCTTTACATATGAAAACGTACCTACAGACTGTGAGTCAGAACAGCCGGCATTATAGTCTACTCTCCCAGGATCAGGAAACAGTCCTCCATAAAATGTGCTGCACACATCTGAATATTTGGGTTGAAGTGTTCTGGAACAGTGTTGTAAATACAACTTAACCACTGATTTCTAGTCGTGTCCTCTTTTGGAAGGCCAAACAAAGTAGTTTCACTTTCACAACGAAACACACAGCGTCACACACGGCCGGCTTGAGTGGGGAATGGCTGGCTGGCTAGAGTGAGCGGAGGCCGGCGGGCTTGTGGCAACCACATGTGACGACCCCGGACTTACACAACACTTACTTCGTTTACAGTGAAAGCCGATCCAGCGATCCACAGCGCAAAGTTGATGTTTTTCCTCAGC